GCTTATAAGGAGAGACTCCACACATGGTCCGCCTGCTGTAACCGTTAGGCTACGCTGCGGCCCCCCCCCCCAAAAAAGAAGCCATTTTGATTTAAGAATTTCAGCATGACATGTCAGTCTTGCGATATCTGTTGATACTGGAAAACAAATCCCTTGACAGGTATGTATTATTTTCCACATGGCCATGTCTTGCTTTTTGGTAAAGAGCCCATACACTACTATGTTTTCCTTTATTGTAACGGTACATTTTCATTTGCAGCCATGGCCAGGTCTTTGCACATTGGACAGCAGAGTGCTAGATGATGTTAAATGGAAATTATGCTCCAGTGTTTAGGCTCAAGAGAAGGCGAAACCAGGAATCTGAGGTTAGCGGTGTGGAAGTATTGATCAATATAGTTTTGACATTGTCTAATTCTGTGATGCACCTCGTCAACAGCTGCGTTAGCTTTATCAACAATTTTGAATTGACTGTGTATTTTAAATAATGTTTTTTTAAGATTTGCACACTTGTTTGCAGCTTCTTCACTTTTCAGGCAGAGGGTCATAGTGCCAAAGTCCGACGTTGCTCAGAGTCTGTGTCACAGTGTCCAGGTTTGAAAAAAAAGCCATTTTGATTGAGCTACATTTAAGAAGGTTTTTGTGATCATTGGGATTTCCCATGATGTTCCGAGCTCCCCTCGTGTTACTAACTGGACTCTCTCCCTTTCCCGTAGTCTTGTGCTTTCTCGTCCCCCTCCTCTCTCCTCCTATCACTTTCTGCAGGTGTTCCTGGCTCTGGAGCTGTGGGGTCTGGATCTGTGGTTGGGAGTCTCCTCCTGTCACTTCCTGCAGGTGTTCCTAGAGCTGTGGAAGCTGGATCTGTTATTGGGAGTTTCCTGCCGTCCCCGTTCAACTGTTTATAGTTTTATTGCTATCATTACTGCTATCATTATCATTAGTATTAATATCATTGCCATTTTTCATCCAGTCTATGTGTTACTGTGTTGGCTGCCTCTCTCTGCTCCCTCTGTCATTCTCTTGTCCTCTCTTTCCCTCACCCCCAACCGGCCGAGGCAGATGGCCGCCCACCCTGAGCCATGGTTCTGCTCGAGGTTTCTGCCTGTTAAAAGGAAGTTTTTCCTTGCCTGTGTCGCCTAGATCTGCTCTTGGTGGGAATTGTTGGGTTTCTGTAATTAACTTCAGAGTAGGGTCTGACCTGCTCTGTTTGGATAGAGCTGTAATAGTTATAGTTAGAGTTCATGTTCCAGCTGTAATAGTTATAGTTAGAGTTCATGTTCCATTGTTTTGCCTGAAAAAATATGTTCCTATGTTCTATTATTAAATGTTCTCCAAATTGAGATTTGTTTTCCTTAATTCTCTGTCCTTGTACTGTTTTTGTGCTTTTTTGTAGCCTAGTAGATATACTTGTACAGTTATAGTTTTAGTGCACGTTTCATCATTGTTTTGCTTGAACATTTTTTTCATATGTTCTATTTAATTTAGCTAGCAACTCTGAATTGAGGTTTGGTGAGTAATTACTGTTAAAATATAGTCACATCGTCTGTTCAGGCCATCAAAAAATGTTTTTATTTTTATTGTTAGATTTTTGTGAAGCTTGGGGCAGGTACAATTTTTATTTTATTATTTTTATCGTTAAAAAGTATATATAGATATTTATATATCGGTTGCGGTGGTGTGTTCTCAATTGAGTAATCTAGCATGGAAAAAATGTTTTTTTTTATCGTTAAAAACTACATATCGGTTGCGGTGGTTTGGTGTCAACCGTAACAGTAAAACAGTTCCGGTCATGAGGCGGAGGTACAATTTAGCAGTTCCGGTCATGAGGCGGAGGTACAATTTAGCATCGAAAAGAATGTTTTTGTCGTTAAAAAAAAAATATATATATTTATATATCGGTTGCGGTGGTGTGTTGTCAATTTAGTAATTTAGCATCGAAACAATTTAGTAATTTAGCATCGAAACAATTTGGTAATTTAGCATCGAAACAAATGTTTTTTTTAATGGTTAATATATATATATATATATATATGTAATTTGGTTTTTTTTTATCGCAACCGAGATATATATATAGGTTGCTAACCGAGATATATATATAGGTTGCGTAAAACCGGTGATGAAAAAAATATGTAGGTTGTGTCCCTGATGTGGGCGAGACTTGATGTGACTTGATGTGGGAGGGGCTTGATGTGGGAGGGGCTTGATGTGGGCGGGGCTTGATGATCAAGCCCCGCCTTCCCGCAGGATGCAGCGGGATGTACTTGCTGAAGTCCGAGCTGCGCTCAATCCCAAAGATTTTTTCTCAGAGACACAAACCCACAACAGCTCAGTTTTTAATTCCTGGGTAAGTAATTTCTTCCACATATTTTTATAATATGGAATTTATGGAACGTAACCAAAGTATTTTGCTGAAACAGTTGTAAATATGCAATCAGATATGTTTAACCGAATATTCCACAGTTTGTTTTGAAAATAAAACTATTTCTGTGGTGTAACATTTTGCCCTTAAATATAACGTAAAGTTTTATCTAAAATTTTATTTTTGCCTCAATAAACGGGCAATAATGCTCGGTGTCTATGACATAAAGAACAAATGTGATTAAAGATGGAAGTATCTATAAAATAAGGGCATCAATAATTAATAAAATACAGCCATGCATTCATGGCGTGCATATCTTTACACTGCACCTGTAATTAGTAAATTGCTGTCATTCCAGGTGTAATTCTTTTTTCTTATTGTGCTTTCAATCTCTCAGGTAAACCCACAATTCGACCGCTCTGTTGCAGCTGGACCTCCATTGAGGCGGGGGAGGAAAAAAGGCCTGTCTGCTTCAAGCATCCTTGATGGTTGCAGTCAGCTGTCTAGAAAGAACAGTGTGTGCAAGTACCCCTCATTATCATTTCAGACAGGGTCAAGGGACCGGCCACACAAGCCCAAGAGCACGCGCTCAAATAAAGGTGCAGAGTGTACTGTTGGGTCAAACATCAAAGATCAGCCTCAGGAATCGTACAAAAACAAAAGGACAGTTTCGAGTGCACAGAGCAGAGACACACAAGGGAGAGAATTTTCCTCAATCAGAAAAGGGAATGTGGAACCATTTTCAGATGTTCCTATGCCCTGCAGTCAGCGTTTGGAGCGACCCAAAATTGCACCTGCTGAAGTGATCCGGGGTTGCAGAATCCCAGCAGATGGAACTTCAACACCTGCCTCTAATGAATGTAGCGACACAGAGGTCAGCCCAGGCCCACCTCCTGATGTGGACACTCCAAAAATAAGACATGATGGGAGCAGCTGTCCCTCCTCTCCTTCTGTTCATTTGCTCTTGGCTCAACCTTGTACACCACCATCCAACCAACCACCCCATATTTTAGTTGCTGATACACCAGAGAGAGATTATGGGATAAAGGTGACTTGGAGGAGGAGAATGGGTTTGATGTTTATGCTAAAAGAGAGGGGCCACCTTTCTGAATCAGACTGGTTAATTCACTGATGTTTTTTTTTTTAAAAGAAAAAAATCTGAATAATTGGTTGTTCATTTTCTGTTGAACAATTGATTCTATTATTGTCACCACTCCATACTTGATATTTATAGGAATTCTGCTTAAATCATAATCAATCTTATAACTCAGATTCAATCCTTTGCCGAACAAAGGTCATGCATTTTAAAATCAGATGTATACAAACATTCCGAGCGCACATGGTTTGCATTACATAATTTAAAATTGACTTGACATATAGGCATTTTATTCAGTATTGTGCACAAAAAACATGCAACATGTGTTTGAGAAAGGGGAATGTTTGGCTGAATAAGTTGTGTATCTTGAACATCTTGTCATATTAAATATATATCAAAAGAAACATTGAATAAATATAAGTCAAATGAGGACATTAAATTCTTGCTTATTTTTAATGAACATAATTCAAGATATAAGGATAGGTTTGATAGAAACTTATAGTTGCCAATGAAACCTTTGTAAGAAAATACTTCAAAGACGAGGGTATTGCCGTTATATTCTAGAATTAAAATACGGATATACAGTCATATTTATGTCAAATTTTATCAGTACGTAATGGAAGAATGAAGAACCGACTAGTACACCCACCTTTCTGTAGAATGTCCGCCAATCAAATTCCACCTAACGGAAGGCAGGCCAATAGAAACTCTCGTTCTTCGTGTGCGTGGTAACTAAGGAGAGAGTAACTGAGTTCTCCACAACCGCGTCTACAAAAAGTGCTCTACCTCTCACGAGGGTTTTCCCTTAGCAACCGTGGATAAACATGAGTTACTACAGCATAAGGTGAGGAAGAATAAATTATGTTGCTCTCTGGCGGTGTTCTTTTTAAATCTAAGCAGCTGTTTCGTTGACTGTGGAATGAACAGTTGAGTCGTGCAGTGACCATTTTGTCCGTAAAACTTAACTGTCGTCCACAACTTTTATTTAAGCAGCATCGCATACAGTGAAGGCAGGACTGAGACAGCTAGCATTAGCTTCTAACGGGAACACGCTAGCCTTGTAATAACATATATGGCAACATAAGACACATTACTGCCAGTAATATGACTTATTCGGACAAGTAATGATTCTCTCAATGACGAACTTGCTAAAATATCAAAGAATCGTAATATTACTGCAAACATCGCCCTGGATATGACGGACTGAGAAGGATAGAAGAGAAAGGCAAAAAAGGAAGAAAAACAACAACCACATGTAGATTACTTGGTGTTTGGGAGCTTAGTTTGATAATTGTTTGAATAAATCATTACATTAGAATGGATGAACTCATCGTTTGTGATTGATATTACATTTGAATGTAATTCCTGTAAGATTACAACCGATTTGTCCGATCGCAAACGGGATTTCAATATGCATTTTCTTATTGGATGTGCAGTCTAACATTAGTATTCGGTATTTTAGCGTTGAAATACAATAGTTGTGAGGAAACTGAATATGGATTGGAATTTAATTCTTATGTAATTACTATATTCACTGTTCTGTGCTCTGTTTTGTGGCATCCACACTGCGTCAAAAACGACCTCACAGTACCTCCTAGTTTAGATTTGAGAGCAGAGAAGTGGGTAAGGAAGAGAAATCTTTGCCTGTCATGTCTGAACATGATTTTTAGTTGTCATTATTCTCTCTAGCTCTTTCTTTCGCCCTCTCTTGCTTCTGTGCCTGAATGTGTAAACGCTTTCACTAAAGCTGTTTTGATATCTTAAGACTCAGTCCACAATTCCAGAGGCTGTGCAGGGATCTCCTTCCTTTTTCCTGGGAGATAAAAATCCAAGTTGCCCCCACCCCTTCCTGTTGAAGTATCTTTCTGATTATTTGATTTTTAAGGGATTGCTAAGGAGGCTATAAACTGCACATCAAAGTGTACAAAAAGGTTAAAGACTATTTTCACAAGGCTTGATCAGTCCTTTTGTTCTAACATGTCCTCTGTGGCATACATTTGTTTTGGTTTACGCTTTCTAGACATTTACATTTTTGTAATGTGATTGTATCCTTTTAGCATGGCCTACTACAGCAATGACCCATTCCTGTTCCACACACTAGTTGAGTGGCACAACTTTAAATTCCATCCATCCATCCATCCTTTTTCTGAACCTCTTATTCCCATTGGGGTCACAGGGGCACTGGAGCCTATCCCAGTTTTCAATGGGCGAGTAGCAGGGTACACCCTGGACGGCCCTTCAGTCCATCGCAGGGCCACACATATAGACACACAAAGACAAACAACCACACACGGTCACTGTCACTCCTAAGGGCAATCTGGAATGCCCAATTAACCTAACATGCAGGTTTTTGGACGGTGGAAGGAAGCCGGAAAAAAACACGCAGACATTTAAAATGATAAATTCACAATTAGACATTTGTAAAATTTGAGTTTCCCATCTTAAAAGATGATTTGATTGGCTTTTGCATAATGAGTTAATGCCTCTATAATGAATGCCAATTAGTGTTATTATTCTCGGTTTCAGTGATGAACTGCATATCTTTTTCCATTAGTTATTTCCTCTGATTATCTCACAGTAACTCATGAACATTTACTCCCCTTTCTTCCAACTGATGGAGGCTGAATTTCTTGGCAGTTATTTGCTGTTACAAATTTTAGAGTGCGCATGCAGCGATGACACGTGTGTGGAGTGACAGTTTTCATAACAGGCCCTCCGTTGTAATGCTGCAAAGACTGCTGAAAAGCGCAGTGCTGCAACACATTTTCTTGTTTTGTTTTTTTTGCACTGCACATTGCCAGGGTAAGTGTCAAGGCTTGTCACACAGCAGTTGAGAAGGGGACACATCTGCTTTTAGAAAACGTGAAAAGCCTTTGTGTTAGCTTACAATCCTCGGCTAAACAGCTAATGATGCTCGCAGTTTTTCGAGGCCGACTTTACCCACATGGCCTACGATGGCTCGGTTTCTTTGCTATGATTGATTTAAATCTCAAATTACCTTGCCTTCCGAGCAAGTAAGTGAACAAATTCAGATGCATTTAGTAAGAAGAAGGTTTATAGAGTTTTTACCCTTTATGTGTGCACAGTTTAAACTTGAAGTTGATGGATGGTGTTTTACTGAGCTTATTCCCTACCTCCACTTATTTATATGTACAAGTCTTCTTTTGTGGACATTTCAACACTTTTTTTTTAATGAAGTGTGTGGTTTACTTTCCTTCTCTTTTTTTTCTGGAATGCTTTCCATTAGATTGTGGTTTATCTCAGTAACTGAAAGCATAACTTGAGGCTGAGTGGTTTTACTTGGAAAACACATACATTTGGTCCCATATGCTTTGAGTTCTTAGAAGCATTTCTGGTATTTGTTATGAACCCCCCCCCTCCCCCCCAGCACATTTTAAGTTACTTTATCCATGATGAAGTAGGGTTCCAACAGGGAAAGCAAAGGATAATCCTCAGAGTTGTAGGTGGCCTGTTTTGTATGGGCTCCCTGTGGAAAACTGCATTATTATCAACACTTACAGCTTCCATCATTTGTTTTGAGTTCAATAATTACTCCCTCTGGTGAATGATTCCCCTGCTTATCATCCTTATGTAGGTACCTGTATACCATTGTACTGCTGTCGCTCAGGACTACACGCACAACATAATCCTAATTTTTGTACTTTTATTTTTTTCTTTGGCACTTGGAAGCGGGCACAGGAAAAAAAATTGAACCCTCTTGTCATCTAGAAACTAGATTTAAATCTTCAAATTGATCCTCTGCAAAGTAAGCTATTGGTTTTGTTTTGTTGAGTTACCTTTGAAAAATGACATGTTCAGTTTCAGTATCACAGTGACAGACGGGAGGATCTTACTCATCTATTTAGTCATCCAGCATAAGTACAGTGGTCTGCAAAAGTTTGGGCAACCTTGTTAATTTCAATGATTTTCCTTCATAAATCATTGGTTCTTTGGATAAAAAAAATCTGTTAAATATATGATATAGGAGACAAACACAGTGATATTTGAGAAGTGAAATGAAGTTTATACCATTTACAGGAAGTGTGCAATAATTGTTTAAACAAAATTAGGCATGTGCATAAATTTGGGCACTGTTGTCATTTTACTGATTTCAAAATCTTTGGAACCAATTATTGGAACTCAAAATTGGTTTGGGAAGTTCAGTGACCCTTGGCCTACACACACAAGGCGAACCCAATTATGAGAGAGTATTTAAGGGGGGGCAATTGTAAGTTTCCCTCCTCTGTGAACCTTCTCTGAAGAGTATCGACATGGGTGTCTCTAAAGAACTGTCACATGACCTGAAAACAAAGATTGTTCACCATCATGAATTAGGGGAAGGATACCGAAAGCTGTCTAAGAGATATGAGTTGTCTCTTTCGACAGTTAGGAACATAGTCAGAATATGGAAGACCACAGGCACAGTTCAAGTTAAGCCTCGAAGTGGCAGACCAAGGAAAATCACGGATAAACAGAAGCAAAGAATGGTTAGAACAGTCAAAGTCAACCCACAGGCCAGCACCAAAGACAAACAACATGATCTTGCTGCAGATGGAGTCATTGTGCACCGTACAACTATTACGCGCACTTTACACAAGGAGATGCTGTACGCAAGAGTGATGCGGAGGAAGCCTTTTCTCCGCCCACATCACAAACAAAGCCGCTTGAAGTATGCTAAAGCACATCTGGACAAGTTGGAATAAGGTGTTGTGGACTGATGAAACTAAAATTGCGTTATTTGGACATAACAAGGGGCGTCATGCATGGAGGAAAAACAACACAGCATTCCTAGAAAAACACCTGCTGCCTACAGTAAAACTTGGTGGTGGTTCCATCCTGCTGTGGGCCTGTGTGGCCAGTGCAGGGACTGGGAATCTTGTAAAGTTGAGGGATGCATGGATTCCAACAAATATCAGCAGATTCTGGAGACCAATGTCCAGGAAACAGTGACGAGGCTGAAGCTGCGCCGGGGCTGGATTTTTCAACAGGACAATGACCCTAAACACTGCTCAAAATCTACTAAGGCATTCATGCAGAGGAACAAGTACAACGTTCTGGAATGGCCATCTCAGTCCCCAGACCTGAATGTTATTGAAAATCTGTGGTGTGACTTAAAGAGAGCTGTCCATGCTCGGAAACCATCAAACCTGAATGAATTAGAGGTGTTTTGTAAAGAGGAATGGTCCAAAATACCTCCAACCAGAATCCAGACTCTCATAGGAAGCTATAGGAAGCGTTTAGAATCTGTTATTTCTGCAAAAGGGGGATCTACTAAATATTGAGCTATTTTTTTTATTGTGGTGCCCAAATTTATGCACATGCCTAATTTTGTTTAAACAATTATTGCACACTTCCTGTAAATGGTATAAACTTCGTTTCACTTCTCAAATATCACTGTGTTTGTCTTCTATATCATATATTTAACTGATT